ATATGTACAGCTGGCAGCCTGACAAATGCTTTTTGATGAAAAGTATGTTAAACTCATGCTAACTCTTCTGAAAGTAAAATAATAAGAAATGTAAAATCAGGGAGGAAAGAAAAATTACCTCCCATTCCTCATCAAATAGGGATCTAGATGCAATAAAGCAGTCTTGCAAACCCTACCAAATGATTACAAGTTACACATTTTTGTTTGACTACTTAGTCTGCCCTTAGGAAGAAAGATAGTAAAACACCTAAATCATTGGTCTTCGCAACTTATCATGCCTAATAGTAATTTATCAAGACAAAATGTTTTAATGCTCTTAGCGTAGGAAAAAAACAAGAAGTAAAAACAGATATTTGTAAAATTATTCCAGTTGTAAACAACTAATTTGAGGACTTGATACCAAGGACTTCTACTGTTGCTCCTAATTTTGTTCTTTTGTTCTCTCTGCACAATTACCCAAGACTGGATGAAAAAAAAAAAAAAACTAATTTTACTTACATTTTAATAGCTAGAATTTGAAAAATGAATGTAGATGAATGTTATTAAAATTATTTAGCATTTTGTGAATCCATCTAAAACTGCACATACGGCAAAACTGAAACTGGTACAGTTTTCTGGGGACACCCTTGAGATAACTTCTATAAAAGCAGAAAATCCAGCTGCCTGAGTTACTTGACAAAAATGGATTCACACTTGGGTGAAGGGATGATGGAAATGAGGAGGTAGGTAAATGGCATAGCTGTTAAATGATGATGCGAAATCTACACAGTCTGGCAGCGGTGGCTCATAGAATTCTACTGCAAACTGCATTTCATGAACTGAATTTGAGTATGAAGGTCTATAATAAGCAAATGATATAGAAGCAAGATCTCAATTGTTATCTGTGCTTTTTGCTGCTGAACCAGTTACCCTCTGGCTGACTTATGCTTCTCCAATTCCCCTGGGATTTCATGCTCCATCATCCCTGAAGAAAAAGATTTAGTACTGAATTTGTTGACATCTTGTTAGTTCAGGGAGACTAGAACTTTTGAAGAGAAAAGACAAAGCAAGAAAGCCCCCATGGGAATCAGAGGGTTTCAGAGTAGAAACCCTGTGTGTTCCATAGAGTTTTCATGGCTGTGACCTTTCAGAAGCAGATACCTAGGTGTTTCTTCCAAGTCACCTCTGGGTGGGTTGGAACTGCCAACCCTTTGTTTAGTAGCCAAGTGCTTAACTACTGGCTCCACCCAGGGGCTCCTATCCCAGGTTCACATCTCCTCAAATACTAAAAATCTGCTATCAAATACTTAAGTACTTCTCTATTCTGGAATACCAAAAACCAAAACACAAACCCATTGCCATCAATAACCAATCCCAATTCTATCAACAAATCCTCATAACTATAGAAATTGAATGCCTTCCCCATTTCCCAAACCTTCTGGTCTAGATACAGTCTAGTTTATCTATTTCTTTCTTGAAGAAAGGCTCCCAAGTTCTTTCTTGAAGAAAGGCTCCCAGTAATGAGCAGATTTCTCCAGGGGCAGCTCACTAGTGTAGTGAGCAGCACTGCCTACTCTCTCATTCTAGATTCTGGTGGCATATTTAGATTTGACAGTGCCTTACAACATGTGCTACTGCTGAGTTACCTTCTTCCGCCTAAGATAGTACAATGAGCATGTTGGACCTAAGGGAAAGATGTAAATGAGAAGGTACAAACTGAAATGAGTGCTGTAGCCAGACAAATAGCAGAAGTGCAGGAAGTTGTCTGGTGACTATAAGGAATGGCAAGGGTTGTGGTAACCCGGAGATCATGTGCCGTCCCTAAAGGCATGCAGGTTCATTTATGCCTTTACACACTATCTTGTACAAACAAAACACTGAATTCAGCCCATGGTCTGCCAGTTTTCATCTCAGGCTAGTCTCTGGTGTGGTGTTAGCGCCCACACATGGGAAATCAAACTATGTAATTTTTTTAAATTTTATTTTATTTTGTATTGTACTTTAGATGAAGGTTTACAAAACATACTAGCTTCTCATTAAACAGTTAGCACATATATTGTTTTATGACATTGGTTAACAACCCCATGACATGTCAGTACTCTCCCTTCTTGACCTTTTCATTTTTCTTGAGCTGCTCTCAGGATTCTTTGTGTTTGGTTTTGGCGAGTGTGATTATGATATGCCTTGGTGATTTTCTTTTGGGATCTATCCTATATGGGGTTCATTGCACTTCTTGGATGGTCAGCTTTTCATCTTTCATGATATTGGGGAAGTCTTCTGTCAGCAATTCTTCAATGATCCTCTCTGTGTTTTCCATTTTCTCCCCTCTGTTCTGGTACTCTGATCAGTCGTACATTTTTGCTTTTGATTGTATCCCAAATAATTCACAGGGTTTCTTCATTTTTCTTCGTTCTTTTTTCTGATTTTTCCTCAAAGTTGTATCCAAGTGTTTGTCTTCAGTTTTGCTGTTCCTGTCTTCCATCATTTCAAACCTACTCCTCAGCCTTTCTATGACACTGTCCATTTCTAAAATCTTGTTTTTTATCTTTTGGATTTCTAATTGTTTTTTGTATGATATCTAGTTGTGAGTTTATTTTGATATTTTGTTCTCATATTATTTTCCTGAATTCTCCATTTTTTGTTTGTATTTTCCATGAATTTATCTGCCTTTCCATGAATTTGTCTATTTTTTCCCCATTTTCATCTGCTTTTTGCTTCAACTCTTGGATAGCTCTGAATATTAGAGATTTGAATTCCCTATCAGGTAGTTCCAGTGTCTTTTCTTTTACTGGAAGGTCATCTGGATTTTTATTTTGGATGCCTACTGGAACTATCCTGTCCTGTTATATATATATATATATATTATATATATATATATAAAATATATATATATTATATATATATATTTATTTTGATATTGTCTGCTGTGTTCAGGACATTCAGTAGTTATTTTCTTTGTTTATTGATTGTAGATTTGTTTGTTTCATCCTGCTTTTTTGTTTTATTTGCTTATGTCTTAGCAGGCAGGCTGTGCATTATTTGTTGTTTGCTTGACTGTGGACATGATATTTTCCATCCCCTTGTCCAATGGTCAGGGCTAATCTCTCAGCTATGGTGCAGCAGGGTACGTCCAGCTGAAAAGAAGGAGCTATTATGGGTTGTTTGTAGTAGGTACTGGGGCCAATAAGGTGAGCCAGAGGTCAGTGCAGGGCAGTTTCCAGTAGGCCATGCCCGTGCTGCTCGGAAGTGCAGTGTTCAGCATACAGTACAGATAGGCAGGAGGGAGGGGGTGGGGTATGTCATGATGTGTGGAGCTAGGTTGGGTATGGGAAAGTAGAGAGAGAGGAGAGAGAAACAGGAGCCAAAAAAAATGCTGAGGGAGCCTGCCTTTAGAGTGGTGAGACGTAAAACCAAGAAATGAAGAAAAACAAAAAGGAAAAAAGCAAAAAGAAAGTAAAGAAAAAAATAAAATGCCCCCAGGGATCCCACCAGCACGGCTGCGTGGACCAAGGAAGCGGCTCCCAAGCCACTCAGTACAGCTGGGCTAGAAGGTGTGGAGATGACACACTGCACCAGGTATTCAGGAGGCAGGTAAAAAAAGTAAGTAGAAAGAGATAAGAAACCAAGAAATGAAGAAGAATAAAAAGGAAAATAGAAAGAGAAAACAAACAAACAAAAGCCCCCCAGGGATCCCACCAGCGTGGTGGTGTGGACCGGGGAAACAGTTCTCCAGCTGAGCGGCACTTCACAGCCTATTAAGAAGAAGCAAAGACGGCACACAGAGTCAGGTGTTCAAGAGAAAGGACAGAGAGGAGGTGAGAGGCAGGGAAGAAAATAAAAGAGGCTGAAAAAAGCAACACCAGCAAAAAAGAAATGGCAATGAAGAAGACAGCCAGTGTGGGCAGAGTGAATCTGCATGGCACAGAACCAGTGCTTCCTGTGCCACAATCTCGGCCCACCAGGAAGCAGTGAATCAGCCCACCGGGAAGCCACATATTGGCCCTTGGGAAAGCAGCAGATTGGCCAGCCAGGAAGCAGCAAAGGCCAAGCAGGGGGAGGCAGGGTGGGAAAGCGTGTCTTGCTAGTTACCGGGTGCTTTGTCTCCTGCTGGGAGCTCCGTGAATCTGCTTTCCTGTACTCTCTGTCCACTGATCTCCGACAGGAGTCCAAGATAGTGGATCTGTGCTGCATTAGCTGATAGGGGACCTCTGCTCATAACTCTTCTTGCTCTCCATTCTCTATCAGTTTCTTATTCCACTTGGTGCTTGGTTGAGTTCCTTATCTCTTCATTTGATGCTTAGGGTTCCAGGATTGACGTTTGTCTCTGTTTTACTTAGTTTTTCAGGTCTCTGCTGTGGAGGGACGGGGTAGTGCTTCTGTCTATAGCGCCACGTTGCCTCTAATGTTTTTATTGTGCTTAACAAATACTAAATGACATACTCTAAAATAAACTCTAGAAATAAAAGAATTTCACTCCAAAATGACCAGCAATGATTTATTTTCAATATTCCAGGAGTAAATTTTAAAATGATCCTAAACCTCTAGTGATGTTTAGATGTTGGTTGAGAACTCTTTTCCCAAAGCTAGACAGATTATGTTTATTCCACAAATATTTATCACTCATAATAATATTAACATTTATTTAGTTTACAATATGGAAGGCAGTATGCTAAGTATTTTATGCACTTGATCTCTTTTAATACTCATAAAAGAACATGAAGCACTCCCCACAACTTTCGCAGTCCAGGAGAACTTTTGGTTCTATTCATTCTCTCTTCATTCTTTTATGTTTTTCATTGAGGAAATGCTTTTTTTTTTTTTTTTTTTTTTAAATCCCATTACACTATGTTCCAGTGACAACTAAGAAAAAAATCATAAAGAACGTGTAAGGATTAATTTTGTAGTTGTTCGTGGACAGTTAGGAACAAAAAACCCAATGCTGCTGATTTTTCAGAACTCTCCCCCTCACAGATTGTCCATATGTTGATTTTCTGTTAAAACATCTTCACTTCCTTTTGTAGAAAGAGCTCCAGTGGAGAGTCAAGTCTTTTCCACTCTAAAGGACTGCCTGGCTGCTGGGCAGGAAGAACTCATCCTTCTACAAGAGAATGTCAAGAATGGAAAACTGTCTATGGACGAAGCACTGGAGAAATTTAAACACTGGCAGATGGGAAAGAGTGGCCTGGAAATGATTCAGCAGGTAATACTGACTCCAATCCCTTCGAAACATTCCCTCACTTTAGCAGCTCTGAACTTCTTTGTAAATGTTTATTCTTAACAAGAAATAAAAAGTTAACCATTCTTCAGTTTTTAACTAGCCATGATCAAGATGTTTGCAAACTACCAATTAAAAGTTGTAAAATATCCATAATTCATGTTTGTAAACCATTTGTGAACTCAGTCCTGGGACCCAGTGTATCAAAGCTAATACTAATCAGCTCATAAGGCTATCCTCAGTGTAGTTATTATTTTGTGACTCTCATGGCTGAAATTAAGGTGAAGTATCCTTACATTAACATGTGCTCAGCATGAAGAGTGTAATATATAGACCAGGTTTAGAGGGAATAAGAAAATGATTGAAATCAGGCAGTAATCAAATGAAATATAATAAATTGTATTCTTCTTTTCCCCTTAACTTTGGAACATTTGAGATATGCATGCATATGTGTGTGTGTATATATATGATTGTGTGTGTGTAAAATTTATACATATATGCGTTAAATTTTTGTTTTGCATAAATATTAACCATATTCATTATCCCATTATTTCTATATGTTAGATGAGTGAGAACAGTCTGATCATATATATAAGAAGGCCAGTCAGGATTTGTAGAGTATTAACTTCAGATAAGCTTGTCTTCTGTAAATGCAGTTTACATCCTGAGAGGGAATTGGGGTAGTTCTGAGATGATAGTGAAAACAAAAATATAACATAGACACCTTTCGACATTTCTCAGTGAGAGTTATGAGGGCATATTCTATCTGCCAACATAGGCCTTCCCACACCAAAAGTATTCCAACATTTTTTTATTCTCATTACAGAAACCCCCACTGTCCCAGGTTCAAGTTCTCAGCTATTTGAGTTGTTGTTGGTAGGTGCCGTCAAGTTGACTTATAGCAATCCTATGTATACAACAGAATGAAACAATGCCCAGCCCTGTGCCATCTTCACAGTCATTGCTATGTTTGAGCCCATTGTTACAGCCACTGTGTCAATCCATCTGGTTGAGGGTCTTCCTCTTTTTCACTGACCCTCTACTTTACCAAGCATGATGTCCTTCTCCAGTGACTGTTTGGGTAAACACACTTAATTAGCTAATTTATACCAAAGTATAAATAATCAACAATAGATTAATATGCTGCCTTTCCTAAGGGATAATTTTTATATAAAAGACAATGTTTGGAAAGACAATTGTTTACAACAGAAAAATGAATCAAACATGGTGACATTCCAGACAAGTGACATATAGGCGGGAGATCACCTAGGCAAGAGGACTTTCCCAATACACCTGAGATCACACATTGTCAGTAACCACCTATATCTAAGGGCAACTCTGGTTGTTGGTTTGTGGCTGGGCGTCGTTCAGATTTTGCAATGCTAAGCAAGGGCAGCTATTTTGCCAAACAAATGCTAAAGAACACTGATTGTAGAGTTCTGCAGTTGTTCATTGTTCATGATCATAATGACAGCATTGCTTCTCAATGTGTGCCACTTTCATCATTAAAACATCCCTCTTATCCTGAAATGGGGTAAAATGTGCTTAAGTGTGGATCTGCAATTCACCTTCCTAGCAACCCTTTCATGGTTAAGGAAGGTTTCATTGTAATAAGCCAATTGTGCTTTATCCTCCAAAGGCCCTTCAATAATAAAGTTTACAATTTAGACTAATCCAATGTAAATATCTTCTTGGAAATAATTTCAGTAGTAGTTTCATTAAAACCTTGAATGTTTTTATTTTGTTTGTAGATGTATATTCCGTCTTGCTCTAGAATGAAATTTAAGAGATCCGTAATAACTACTTAGAGACTTCTCTGACTCATCTAATATATAGGGATAATGGGATGATGAAATGGTTAAAGTTTATGTGGAAAAAGTAAATAACCCCTGTAAATGCAAGTCAACAGACCCTAACACTGTGAGCCAAACATTTAGTGACTCTGGCTGAATACTGTCAGGGGAATCAGTCATTCCTTAACATAGGGGCCTGGGCAAAAATCTGAACAACAAAAGAAATGGATGTTCTATCAATACATAAATGCATAAACAAAATTTTATATATATATATATATATACACACATATATAATGAATATTATTCAGTCATAAAGAGAAATGAAGTTCTGATAATGCTATCACATGACGAACACTGAAAACATTATACTAAGTGAACTAGGTCAGACACGAGAACAAATATTGTATGATCCTTCTTATATGAAATATCTGGAATAGGCAAATGCATAGAGACGAAAGTATATTCATGGTTACTAGGGGCTGGCGGGAGAAAGGATTGGGGAGCGAAAAAAAAGAGAATGTCCTCCCCACACACTCTCTCTCTCCCTCTTTCACTCACTCAATCCCATACACTTTCCAATATTCCTCTTGGAGTTGCAAAAATATTCATCTGTACCCCAGGTATGAATCTATCACAAATAACTATGACATTATATTAAAACTTACAAGGTATTATCTTAGGAAACTTAGAGGAAAAATGACACAAACATAGAGTTAATTGTCAGAGTTCCTGGAAGAATGAAGACCTATGTAAAACGCCTGGAGTTGAAGATGAGATGGTTGAGAGGGTGAAAACTCACCTTTCTAACTCCTCAGTCCTACTCACAATCACCTAAAGAAGGATGTATTTGTTATCTAGTGCTGATGTAACAGAAATACAAGTGGGTGGCTTTAAAGAGCAGAAATTTATTTTCTCACAGTCTGAAGGCTAAAAGTCCAAATCAGGGTCTTAGCCATGTGAATTCCTTCCTTGTTGGTATTCCCGGGCATTCCTTGGTTCCTTGGTGTTCCTTGGCTTATAGAGGATCCTCCCATAGCATCTGTCTTCCCCCATGTGTGTGTCTTTGCTTCCATTCTGGTCTCTTTATAACTTAGAAGTGATTAGGTTTAGGATTCACCCTACACTAGTATGACCTCATTAAGATAACAAAAAACCTACTTCCAAATAGGATCACATCCACAAGTACAAGGGCCAGGAATTCAACACATATTTTGAAGGGGGAACAATTCAATCCATACCATTCCACTCTTTGGCTACCCCAAATTTATGTTTTTCCCACATGCAAAAACATATTCATTCTATCACATAATTCCCAAAAGTCTGAAACCCATTCAGCATCAACTCTAAAATCTCATCTTCTGAATCATTTAAATCACATATAGATGAGACTCTGGGTGTGGTTCATCCTCAGACAAAATTTCTGTCCATCTACAGACCTGTGAAACCTAGAATAAAAGTTATCTGCTTCCAAAGTAGAATGATGAAACAGGCCCAAGGTAGATGTTCCAATTTCAAATGGGAGAAATTAGATAGAAATAAGGAGACATGGGTACCAACAAAGTCCAAAACTCAGCAGGCCAGATCTCCTTAGCTTTCAAAGCTTAAAAATAATCCTCTGTTTTCAGGCACATCTGAGTAATGATCCTGCCTTCCAGACTCTGGGCATTGGTCATATTTCTAGATTCTGAGAGGAGGTCCCTTGCCCCTAGATGTCAGCCCCACTTTCCAGGTCCACTGGGACAGCAACTTTGGCCCCTCATCCCTGGGTAGCCCCATTCTGGCCCACCAGCATGGCAACCCTGCCCCCTCAACTTTGGGTGGCAGTCTCATTCTCTTGGCCCACCAGAACAACAATCCCACCCTCTATGACCAAGGTTGGAAACAACCCTACTCTTTGAAACTAGTGAGTGATGGCTCTACCCTTTGAAACCAAGGAATTGGCAGACCTGCTTCTCCATGCTCCTTTTATCTCCAAACTGCTCCTGGGATTGCTCCTTCTTTTTCCTGGAGTACAACAGATATTTGGAACCATGTAGCTCCATTGACCCATTTTCTGTCCACAGAATTCCAGGAGGCAGACCACTTTCTTTATTTTGTCCTGCCTCTGTCTCTTTCAGTCTAAGCTGATAGGGTTTCTGCTGAGGTTGTTGATCAGATCTATCAGTCACAAGCCTAATCTCATTAGCAAAAGATTGTTTAGCCACACCCTTGGTGTCCTTTCCAGGGCAGACTCTCTTAATTTTTACAATAGAATTTTCCAAATCTTCAAATTCTGGTTTCTTTTTGCACAGTTTATGTCTCAGTCTATCTCTTTCCTCCCACATTTTACTACTAGCAGCATGGAGAAACCATGCCACCCCTTTAAAGTCTTGCTTAGAAATCTCATCCAAATATCCAAGTTCATCATTGATGAGTTCCACCTTCCATAAAACATTCTAACGTAAGTCAGACAAGTGTTCTGCTACTTTATAACAAGGATTGCCTTTTCACCAGTGTCCAGTAACATGTTCATCATTTCCTTTTAAAGCCTCACCAGAACGTCTAATGTCCATATTTCTAGCAATATTCTATGACAATAGAAGCTTTCTCCACAACTCTCAATCCTTTCTGAACCCTTATCAGAATTGCGCTTAATGTCCATGATTCTATCAACAGTCTGTTCAAGGCAACCTGGTCCTTACTATCAAGCACATCAAAATTCCTCCATCTTCTCCTCATATCCAATTCAAAAATCACTTCGAATTTTGGATAGTTGTTAAAGCAGCACCCCTACTATGTGGTACTAAATTCTGTCTTAGGTACCTAGGGCTGCTATAACACAAATAGCACAATTGGGTAGCACAAATATTTATTTTTTCACAGTTCAAGGCACTAGAAGTCTGAATGTATGATTTAGCTCTACAGAGAGGTCCTTCCTTGTCTTTTTCAGCCTCAAGTAGCTGCCAGCAATCCTTGGCATTCCTAAGCTTGTAGATGCATGTATCTGTCGTCTGTCTTTCTCTTCTTCCTGTGTATGTCTGCATATATTCTGTTCTTTTTATAACTCAGAAGTGATTCAACTTAGGATCCACTCTACATGGGTATGTCCTCATTAGCACAACAAAAGAAAAACCCTATTTCCAATCAGGAACGCATCCACCGGTACAAGAGCCAGGAATTCAATACATATTTTGTAGGGATACAATTCAATCCATAACAAAGATATGTGTTCCACTCATAAGAGAGAGTCTTTAAAGCAATGAAAATAATTATATATTTAGGAAAAGTGGTTTCTAGGATTCAATAGAAACTGTGAGGAAAAATTGTCACTCCTATGTTCCCTTCTAAAAGAGGATTTATTGAGTGTTACCTTGGTTTACTCTTTGGTTAAAAAGATAATAGATATTCAATGTGGAATACTTGGAAAAAACAGAAAAATTACAAATGAGCTAAGAAGGTGAATACAGTTATATATCATTTGCTCCTCTGTTCCTAGTTCTTAGAATTAGAACACTGAGAAGTAATGTGCCCTACAGAGACTAGAGGTGAACTAAGGCAGTAGCAAACTTCATGGTATAGCCCTCGTACTCTTGGACAAGCATTAGGTTGGGAAAACAATTACCCAAAAATCTGGGCTCTTGGTTCCCATTTTGACTCCTACATATGTATGTGTGATTTGGGCAGATTATTTAATAAATAATTTAATCCCTCTGTGCCTCAGTTTTAATGTCTGTAAAATAGTGATGATGACACTAACTTCATGAAGTTATAAGAACTGAGTGAGATAATACAGGTATAATATTAAGAATGGTGATTGGGACATCATAAGTGCTAAGTAAATGCTAAGTAGTAGTGTGGTAAGTAGTTGATGTTTACATATTGGTCCCTGACAAATTTGTAAATCTTGACTTCTGTTTTCTGGCCTTCTCCTCACTAAGGAAAAGTTACGTCAATTACGAGATTGCATTATTGGGAAAAGGCCAGAAGAAGAAAATGTCTATAGTAAGTAAAATTTACCTGCTGTTCAAAAACAATAGAATGATGTAGTGGAAAATGCAAAGGCTGTTGAACTGAACAGTGCTGAGTTCAAATCTACACTCTATCTCTCCCAGTTGTTTGACCTAGAGAGTGTCTTAATCTCTAGCACTCAGATTCCTTATCTACAAAGCAGAATAATTATACATATTTCTGGGGGTGTTTGTATGAATTAACATACAAAATAATTATCACATTCTCTGACCTATAATGGACCCTCAATAAAAGCTAGTTATTTTCTTTCCTTTGACTTCTATGTCAGTTGCAAATAGGATAATTTGGTTCTCTCTTTTTTTAATATGAACCATTATATAAGGAATTAAATTATTAAGAAGTCATACTTTTTTAATGAGGTAGAATATTCTCAGTATAGCCAATTTTCACAATTGTCCACATGTGGGTCATTTTAAATTTTAAATCTCAGGTTGGCTTTTCCTACAACTAGCATACTTCTTGGCAATGCAGATTTCCCTTGCTAATAATTAACAGTTGCTCTCAGGAAAAAAAAAAAAAAACAGTAATTTTAATGTTAATGTAAACAAACTTATTAAGACGACAAATTTTCTCCAAAGATAACACATTCCAAAATTGAAAATATATTATGTTGTTGTTATCTAACCACTCTTTCCTCAAGTCTCTACCTCTGCATAGATAATTAAAAACTGACAACCACTAGCAAAACTTAAAATCTTTCATTGCTTCCATTTTCAATATTTTTAGCTAGTGCTTCATGTTGAAATTCACCATGTTGAAATTCATTTTCTTTTCATACTATTGAAATATTATCTACTTTTCCGGAGAGAAACATTTAAGCTCTCAGAAATGTTTCCTAGCACAAAATTATGCTTTTCTGCAATAATTAAGGCCATAAACACAAGGCTAATATACAGATGATTTAGTTCCATAGACCATCATTCTAATGCAGAATGAGATTAAAATTTTAATAATTCGTAAAATTACAAAATCTATAAGCACTCTTAGTAAGAAACATTAAGTAGTAGTGATGTAATAGTACTAGCTAATATGTATTGAATATCTACTATGCACTTAATATTATCTTATTAATTTCTGACAGTAATTCATAAGATAAATTAATTTCTACAATGGCTATTTGATAGGCATTAGTCCCAGCTTACAAATAAGGAAACAGAGGCTCTAAGAAACTGAAATACTAATCTAAAACACAGATTAGAAACTACAACTCATTTTTGTTCAAATCCAAAGTCAGTCCTCTTTTTTACTGGTGTCTTAATTAAGAATCAATTAGTTCCCCTTCCAGTCACAATGGAATAACTGGTACCTGACTAATCCTCCCAGCGCACATAACTCTAATAATGCAGAAAGTTATAAAACAATTGTTTTCAGGCAGTAGATAAAAGGCAGCCCAAAACTACAATCCCAGAGACAAGTAGAACTCATAAGGTGGGTCAGGGGAATAATTCCCAGCTAGAGTCTGTGAAAAGCAGGGCAGTCCTGTTGACATGAAGAGGCAGAGATTCATGGTCATAGATTGTAGAAGCAGCTGGAGTTGGTGTGTTGAGGCATTGAAGAGGAAGTCACTGTGAGAGACTTGGCCTCAGAAATCCAGGTGACAGACTCCACAAGTCTGTGGTTAAGAGATGTCCTGTACATGTGCAGGGCAAGACCACTCTCAAGGCATACAAGATAGCAGGAGCTAGGGCACTGAAAGCAGAGCAGAGATACTAGAGCTTGAGCCGTGCCAGAGGAAGAGCAGTGCTGGGGAAGTTTGAGTCTTATCCTGCCAGAATGGAGAGCTCTCCTTAGTACCTTGTTGCAGTTTGTGGTATCATGCTGTGTCAAAAGAGATGTAAGGAGTAAGGACCATGACCTTGAATAACATCTACTCTAGACCTGCCCTAACAAAGCCTCAAACCAAGCCCCTACAAAATATGCAAGGGAGACAGAGTTTGTAGGCTGAGGCCACCAAGCTGGGGGGGTCTTGGAAAACATCTTTGGCTCTATATAGATTAGCACTAAAAAAGCATAAAACTAAGCCTGTACAAGTTCAGGCCAGGAATAGACTGCCTGCTCAAATAAGAATTTACACTCATCAGAAGAAGATTACATAATCCAGATGATCCAGAAGATTCTCTACAGTGTCCTGTATTCAATAATTAGGGGAAAAAAACACATAAAAAGAAACAGAACAAAGTAATATATAGTAGAGTAAAAAAAAAATAGCCATCAATAAAAACTGAACCTGATATTGCCCAGGTGTTGATCTTAGCAGATAAAAGACTTTAAAGCAGTTCTTATAAACATAATAAAATTAAAGAAAAACATGGTTTAATGAGTGAATAAATAGGGAATCTCAGCAGAAAAATGGAAACTATAAAATACCAAATGAAAATTGGAGAAGTCAGTATTACAAGAAAAGAAGTGAAAAATTCATCAGATGAGCTTATCAGCAATTTGGATATAGCAGAAGTAAGGATCAGTGAACTTGAAGACAGACCAATAGAAATTATCCAATTTGATAAAAGGGAAATAAAAAGAGTTTTTAAATATACAGCACCTCAGAGACATACAGGTCAATATAAAACAATCTATATTACTTGTTGTGATACATAGGGTTTTCACAGAATATTGCCCAAAGACATACATCTGACCCAAGCCATGGTCTTTTCAGTCACCTCACATGCATGCAAAAGCTGGACAATGAAAAAAGAATATAGAACAATTGATGCATTCCAATTATGGTTTTAGTGAAGAATATTGAGTATACTGCCAAAGAATGAACAAATCAGTCTTAGAAGGAATACAACAAGAATGTTCCTTAGAAGCAAGGATGATGAGACTTTGACTAGCTTACTTTGGGCATGACATCAGGAAAGACCAATTACTAGAAAAGAACATCGTGTTTGGTAAACTAGAGGGCCAGTGAAAATGAGGGAAACCCTCAATGAGATGGATTGACACAACAGCCAAAACAATGGACTCAGACATACCAATGGTCGTGAAGATGGTACAGGACCAGGCAACATTTTGTTCTGCTGTAAATAAGGTTGTCATGAGTCAGAACCAACTCAACGGCAACTAACAACAAAGCATACTTGTAATTATCGTCCCAAAAGGAGAAAAGAGTGGATTGGGCAAAACATTTTTAAAGAAACAATGGCCAAAAACTTACCAAATTTTATCCAAGCTATCTACCTACAGTTCCAAGAACTGCATGAGTATTAAGAGAACTACGTTTAGGAAACTTGTAGTCAAACTACTTCAAGCCAGGATAGAAAGAAATTCTTGAAAACATCCAGAGGTGGGGGAAAAAAAACACGTTTACAAATAGAAGAGCAAGAATAAGAATACCACTAATTTCTCACCAGATGCAATGGAGGACTAAAGATGATAGAATGACAACTTTAAAGTACTAAAAGAAAAAAATGAACACCTAGAATTCTATAACCAGGGAAAATATCTGTCAAAATTTGGTGAAACAAAGACATTTTCAGATAATGAAATCAGAGAATTCAGAGACAGTAAAACTGCAATGCAAAAAATGCTGAAGAACGTCATATAGGGTGAAAAGAGAGTCTTCACACCTGGAAATTCAGATGTGCACTAAGAAATAAAAAGCATTGGAAATGATGCAATGTGGATAGATATAAAATATTATGTTTCTTTTTTCTCATAAATTATTTAAAATACTGTGATTTAAAGAAAAAATAGTACTTAAGGTGGGGTTTGTAACACATGAAGCATGAAGAGATAACAATAATCACACAAAGGACAGATAAGTGGAATTATATGGTTGTGAGATTTTTGTATTGTGAAGTGCAAAGTGTGGACTGTGAAGAATCAGGCATAAAGTAAGAAGAGGAAAGAGAAAGGTAGGAAGTATGAAGTGCCAAATGTAAGGCATGAAGTGTGAGGGGATACACTATTGTCTCTACATAGACTGATGAGTTAAGCATGCATATTTTAGTCATGAAGCAAACCCTAAAAATTTTAACAAATAAAAAGAAGTATACCTAGGAAATTAATAAAGGAAATAAATAAAAAAGTAAATGCATTAAATACTTCCTTTAAAAGGCAGAGATTTTCAAACTGGGTAAAAAAGCAATACCCAACATTATGGTGTCTAAAGACATGCATTTTAAATATATGGCACAGATAAGTTAAAACTAAAAGGTGGTAAAGGGTCTACCATGCCAACAGGAAGCGTTAGAAAGCTGGTATGGCCATATCAATATCAGACAAGATAAACTTCAAGACAAAGAGTATTACAAGAGATAGAAAGGGATATTACATAAGATACCCATTGCCATCAAGTTGATTTCACCTCATAGCAACTCTATAGGACAGAGTAGAACTGCCCCACAGGGTTTTTGAGGCTGTAATTTTTATGGAAGCCGACTGCCCCAGCTGGTGGGTTCAAACTGCCAACCTTTCAGTTAGTAGCCGAGTGTTTAACCACTGTGCCACCAGCACTCCTTTACATAATGATAGAAAGGATAATTCACCAGGAATATGTAACAATCTTACATATTTATGTACTTTAAAAAGGGACATTGAAACTCATGAAGCAAAATACGGCATAACTCTGATATATAGAAAATTTAAACAACACTATCAACTAGCTTGATCTAATTGATATTTATAGCATACCACATTCAAAAAATCCAGAATGTACGTTTTCTAAAGTGCATATAAAAGATTTACCAAGATAGAATATGTACTGAGACATTAAAAAAAGTTTCAATGAACTTCAAAAGATTTAAATCCTACAAAGTATGTTCTCTAAAAGATTTCAATCTTTGGAAATCTTATATTCTTTGACCACAACAGAAATAAATTAAATTCCAAATAGGAATTCAATAAACATTTCAAAATAACTTACAGGTCAAATAGGAAATCATAATAAAATACTTCTACTTGAATAATAATGAAAACACAGCATATCAAAAGCTAAAGTGGTACAGAGGGAAATGTATAGCTTTGAGTGTCATAGTAGAAAAGTTTCTACCTTAGGAAACTTAAAAAAAAAAGAGCAAATTCAATCCGAAAATAAAAAAGAGGAAAGAAATAATAAAGATCAGAAATCAAAGAAAAAGAAAAGAGGTGAACAATAGAGAAAAATCAACAAATCCAAAAATTAGTTATTTGAAAAAAAAAAGTAAAATTGATACATCCCTGGAAATGATAATCAAGAGAAAACAGAAGTTACATATGTCAGTAATTACAGCGATGATATGACATCAGATCCTACAGACATTGAAAGGACACTAAGGAAACAGAATTAACTTCTTGCCAATATATTTGACAACTTAGATGAAAAAAAATTACTTGCAAAACAAAAAGTTACCAAAACTGATTCAAAAGAAAAAAAAAAAACTACAGCTCTCTGAGTATAGTTTTTATATAGTTCTGACTTTTAGAACCATGTTAATGTTTCACATACTTAATGTACAAGGATGGGTGGGGGAGGAGCAAAATAGAATAGAAACAGAAGCAAATGATCAAAAGCAAGATTATTACAAAAAAAAATAACATAGCCACACTGAAGGGGGATAGAAAACACTAATACAAATGATTTTAGAAAACAGCATATTCTCAGGCTAAAGATAAAAAGTACAGTACATAAAAATTGTACTTTATGATTCATAGGGTTTATTTTCCCACAGTGGGGTAGTTTAGAAATTGCAAAACTGCTTTATGGATATTCTAGGATTGGGAAATAAATAAATGTAATGGGTATAAGAAGAGCTAGTTTTAGAGAAAGGAGTTACAAATAAGGAAAGAGGGAAGGTTAGAATGAATCTTGTGGTATTGGACTGGAATTATAACACTCATGGTTGTTATAGGTAAATAAATACAGAAATATAGATGTGTCTATACATGCATACATTTCCTTAGCTCTGCTGAGAGGACCTAGAAGCAGTGACACCCCAGTACCAATGAGCTCACCTAGCACCCACATCTTACTTTACAAAAACATATGGCCAATAATCACATGAAATGATGCTCAACATCATGACTAACCAGGAAAATGCAAATTAAACTACAATGAGATACCACTACTCAACAACTATCGCAGATAAAATGTACTTTCATTCATTGGGTTGGAGTATAAAGTAGTGCAATGAACTTGGGAAACAATGTGGCAGTTTATTATAAAATTAAATATGCATTAACTATATGGCTTAGCCATTCCACTCCTAGGTATTTTTCTAAGAGAAATGAAAATATATGTCCACCCAAAGACTTTTTCACAAAAGTTCACAGCAGTTTCATTAATAATAGCCAAACTGGAAACAACCCAAATGTTCAATAGGAGAATAGATAATTATATTTTGATATATTCATACAATGGAATACTACTCACCAATAAAAAAGGAATAATTACTATTAGACACAACATGAATGAATCTCAGGACATTATGTTAAGAGAAAGATACCAGACACAAAAGAGTACACGCTGTGTATTTCCATCTATTTGGCATTCTAAATAAAACTAATCTATAGAGGTAGATTTCAGATCAGGGGTTGCGAGGGGCGACTGGGTAAGGATTGATGTAAAAGGCACAAGGGAACGTTCTGCAGAGATGAAATGTTCTCTGTTTTACATGGTGTGCTCTCTGTATAGGTTCGTCCAAAGTCGTCAGCCTGTGCACTTAAAAAGGTTTGAATTTTATTGTATGTAATTATTCCTGAATAATGTTGATTTTAAATAAACAGTTGAGCAATTCAAGCTAAAGGATATCAAAACAGAGTGGCAAGCTTTTGCTAAGTGTAAAATATATCTAAAATCATCATCCTAAGTATCTTGGGACAAAGGTCAGGAAGGAAAAAGATAAAAGTAATAAAGGACATGGTCTGACACTGAGTAGCTAGATGCAGATAAACTTGGGGTTAGCATTTTGAAATCATACTGTGATATTTCAGAGCCACCTCAAAGACAAGAAGTAGTCAAACAATAAGAAGGGAGTTTAGGATAAACTGAGCAAAACTCAATAACATGCTTTTGTTTTTTTTTGTCTTCTAGATAAACTCACCATAGTGCACCATCCAGGTGGTAAGTTCTTGGCATCTACTGAAGGATTTAGGACTAAAACAAAGCATATAGTAAACCAATTTCAATATTAGCATAATATGATTAAGGAGGTCAGTATAAAAACTCACCTAGATTTTATATTTACATGCAAAACCATTTGACATCTGAAATAAACAATGCTGTTGTGTGCTGTCAGGTCAATTCCAACTCATAGTGACCCCATGTGACAGAATAGAACATCGCCACAGGATTTTCTTAGCTGTGATCTTTAGGGAAGCAGATCCCACTGAGCTCTTGGGTGGGTTCAAACCACCAACCTTTTGGTTAGCAGCATTCATCATTATACCACCAAGGCTCTTTGTAGCGATGCTAGAGGCATTGTAATATGTGCTTTGAACTTTTTCTAGCCTGACTCTCCACAACTTACTTGTTGGGACTTTGCCAAGTCACTTAAGCTTTCTAGGTCTGTTTCCTTACATGTAAAACGGGCATAAGAATTCCTACCATGAAGAATTGTTATAAAGATTGATGATGATATATGTAAATGGAGGCTGATATTTGATAAGTGGGAGCTATTAATAGAGCAAATGAAATAAAATTTGAATAACACTTGAGAGAGCGAATCACTGCATTTTTATGTGAAGGATGTTGGGGGAGGAATGTGTGTGGGATGTTGCAAGATTAAAAAGGAGCTAAAGGCCAGCTAGAGGCTGTTGAGTAAACTAGAAGCAACTGTTCACAGCCTGGACCAAAGACCTGTCTGTGGGAATGGAGAAGCAATAGAACTGAGCTGTGTTGCTGGGATAGAAAATGGGAAGGCTATTGTAAAGGCCTGAGGAGCAGTCCAACCAATGGACCAATTACCATCAAGTCGATTCCAACTTGTAATGACACCATGTGTGTCAGAGTGGAACTGTGCTCCATAGACATTTTAGATCACCAGGCTTTTATCCAAGGCACCTCTGGGTGGACTTGAACCTCCAACATTTCAGTTAGCAGCCAAGCACATTAACTATTTGCACCAGTCAGGGATTCCTTGTAGCATGGGCCAAGCAGGAACAAGTTTTAGTAGAAAAGTGTACTTTGTAATTAGCCAATTTTGGTAAATGGGGAAAAGAAAAAAAAAAAAGAGGCAGAGGAAGGGTAATATAAGGGGAGGGGAAAGACAACAGGAATAATCGAGTGGAAGTTGTTATTCAGATTTGTTGGAAAGGTTGTTTCTGAGCTGAAGTGACTTGGTTGGATTGGAATTGGAGGTAAAAGTGGTTAACACTTTGACCCAAGTCAATCCATGCAGGTAGAAAAAAATAGTAGCACACTTGCCAAGGGCGACCTTTCAATATGTCGTTTTTATCTCTTTATAATTTCTTTTTTCTTTATCTATATCCTGCTCTTCAAATATATCATTAAAAAGTTTACTTATAAACTTTTTGAATCATTGAATAAATGAATCATTAAATGTGTGAATGACTGAAGAGATCATAATAGAGTTTGCATTTCTAGGTAATGAAACTTCTCAAAATGAAAATATTTTGTATAGCACACCTTTCGGCAATAAGGTAAGCTGTATGTATCTTAATTTTTATAAAATGCAAAGAAAGAACTTCTCTTTCAAGAAAGAACAAGAGAGCCCGTTATCCTGCCTATGTTTGAAACAGTCTAACATATATGAAAAAACAAGATTACACAAGCATATGTGTATAAAAATCCATGAGCCATAATTTCAGAAAATTAACTATTTGGAAGAAACCAAAATGAAACTCAAACAAAAAAACCACTGAAACCAAAGTGTAACTGAATTCAACACGTACACAACAAGCGAGTCTTAAAGGAATCATGAGTACGTCTGTTTTAGTAATAGCTATATGATGGGTTTGTTTGAAGCACACTGTATACAGTCCTTAAAGGCTAGTTATAGAAAAAGTATAGCCCCAAAATACCATTGATGCAAATACGCATCACTTCACATTGTAGAGTTAACTGAAAATAAATTGCTACTGAGAGGCTAAAAATAACACTAAGCAAGGACAGCAGTAATTGAAAGCCAAGACAATTAAAGACAACACTGATAATGTCATGACCACAACTTGTCTTCAAAAAATCATCGTGTTCCAATTATCTTGAATGCACTTATTTGATAGGAAATCTGCACTGTTAACAAAGGTCACATGGCAGCCAGATTTCTAGCTAAAATTCTAAAGTAGAGCCCTTGATGAACTCTTAAACTAATTTTAGTTTACCAAATTTTAGTAACTCTTTTTTTTTTTTATTGTACTTTAGGTGAAGGGTTACAGAACAAATAGTTTCTCATTAAATTGTCAGTACACATATTGTTTTATGACATTGGTTAACAACCCCACGACATGTCAACCCTCTCCCTTCTTGACCTTTTTTTTTTCCTTTTTGGTGAAGATATACATAGCCAAAGATACATCATTTCAAAAATTTCTACATGCACAGTTAAGTGACATGTATTACATTCTTCCAGTTGTGCTGCTATTCTCACTTTAGATGAAGGTTTACAGAACAAAATAGTTTCTCATTAAACAGTACACGTTGCCCTATGACAATGGTTAACAACCCCAGTATATGTCAAGACTGTCTTACTCAACCTTGGGTTCCTTATCCCCAGCTTTCCTGTGCCCTTCTGGCTTCTAGACCTTGTCCCTGGACTGCTGTGCCTCATTAGTCCCATTTTGTTTTATGGGGCTGTCCAATCCCTGGCTGAACAGTGAACCTCGAAAGTGACTTCACCACCTAGCTAAAAGGGTGTCTGGGGGCCATACTCTCGGGGTTTCTCCAGACTCTTTCAGGCCAATAAATCTGGTCTTTTGTGTGTGCGTTAGAATTTTGTTCTACATCTTTCTCCAGCTTTGTCCACAACCCTCTGTTGTGCTCGCGGCCAGAGCAGTCAGTGGTGGTAGCCAGGCACCATCTAGCTGTACTGGACTCAGTCTGCTGGAGGCCTTGGTAGCTGTGGTCCATTACTCCTTTGGACTAAACTTTTCCTTGTATCCTGTCCTCTTCATTCTCCCTTGCTCCCGAAGGGGTGAGACCAATGGAGTATCTTAGATGGCTGCTTACAGGCTTTTAAGACCCCAGACACTACTCACCAAGGTAGAATGTAGAACATTGTCTAAATTTTAGTAACTCTTTAAGCTCACTTATGTTTCAAATAAATCCTAAGTAATCATGAAAGTAAGTCATTCACCCTTGAGAATTGATTGAAATATCATTAGACTCATTGAACTCTAGCAGAAATGTGGGATGCCACCCAGACCCACAAGTTTATGAAAATATCTGTGCCAAACAGAGATCCTTCTCCAATGATCTGAAAGACTACACAACCATGGCATTTTTTAAAATAATGTTTTATTGTGTTTTCAGGTGAAAGTTTACACAGAAAATAGGTTCTCGTTTGACAATTTCTATACAAATTGTTCAGCGAAATTAGTTACATTTTTCACAATGTGTCAACATTCTCATGAATTGCTTTCTGGTTGCTCCATTTCCAGTAGTCTAGTTTTCCTGCCCCCCATCATCTCATCTTTGCTTTAGAGTAATTGTTCACCTTTTGATCTCATATAGCTGGTTTTTTAATGGGCCCCATACTCACAGATAATATCCTTTATTTTGTGTGCCAATCTGTTATTTCACTTTAAAGAGTATCTCAGGGGAGCAGTCTCAGGGCGTCCTCTAGTCTCAACTGGCCCAGTAAGTCTGGACTTTTTAAGAATCTGAGGCCTGTTCCACATTTTTCTCCCACTCTATCTAGGTCCATCTATTGTGACCCTGATAAGAATGGTCAGTAGTGGTAGCCAAGCACTATCTAGTTCTTCTGGTCTCAGGGAAGATCCTCATCTTGGCTTGTGTAGGCTGTTAGCCCTGTAGACTAGTTTCTTCTCTGAGACTTTGGTTTCTTTCTTTCTCTTTTGCTCCTAACGGGTCAGAGGCCAGTAGTTGTATCTTATATGGCTGCTCGCAAGCTTTTAAGACGCCAGATGCTACTCACCTTACTAGCATGCAGAATGTCGACTTTGTGTTGCGGATTGACTGAGTTGTCTCATGAGACTAAGGATCTAAGCACGGCATATTTTTTTTGAGGGCAGGATTTTGGGTAACAGGAAAAGAGTACGAATTTCCAAAACTTGGCTGAATGATCTCCCTCAAAATAGAAATAAAATTTGAATTCAAGGACTTCGATGTAGTTGAACTTTACAATGATTGTATTTCCTGTAAGACAGTGGATCACCTTGCCAGATGCCTCTACAAAGCTATTTTTTCCATGGCTATGAAGGACAACTATGCCTTTGTCATGTTTCTTTGTTCAGCCTTGAAATGGAGAAATGCTAACTCTGTATCTTTCTTCTATAGCTTCCTACTCGACCCCAAGTTGAAAAAGAATTTGGTTTCTCCAGCAGGAAAGATTACTAAAGAAGGTAAAATATTAGTTTTATTTACATTTTAGAAAACCTAAAGCAGGCTAGTTAGGGACCAGAAGAAATCATTCATCTAGGAAACAGAACACTTCAAATATTTCATTGTCCTCTCCTGAAAAGATAATCTTGTGTATTTTTTAAGCTAAATGTTATTGTTTTTTAGAAACATTTATGCATAGGGCTGATTTTATGCTAGCTAATCAATTTCTATTGATGATCTATTATTCACTAATACATTTTCTGTGATCTCATTTTCAGGTTATTATAAAGAAACTCAAGAATCTGCAAGCATTGTGTTTTCTGGGTGAAGCAAGCTTGCACTTGGATTGCCTGCACTCTCCAGGGCAAATCCATACTCTGAAAGCAGAAACGAGCCTCTGGATTTTGAAATTTGTTACTGCTGCAATTTAATTGGCATTATACCTGCTCCAGATGAGTATATAAAAATTAAAATTGAATTCCATACAGCACTGGCACTCTTTGAAAATTCTTATATTTTACAATGCACTAGCCACTTCAGCAGCTATTTTCCATTTTGAAAAGTAAAGGAAAATAAGAATAGAGAAGTTAAAGGTTGCATATCAAAGTTACTGGCCTATTGGAGGTACTAACCTTAATAGTTTCCCCCTGCCATCCTTAGAATAGCCAAGAAAATCAAATTTGTTTAGTACATATTTGCCTGATCCATTTTCTAGATTTCTCACTTTCAAAATTCTAGTTATTATGGTCATATCATGTGTGCAGACCTTCCCTAATTTAGGGCCTATTTTTAACTTTCTACATCTCAAATTAATATACATTTCCACAACCTACATTCTTCATTAAAAGGCTTCCAATGTCATCAACCTATTTCTTAGAAACAATTTACTAGCCTAGAGTAGAATGCAATTTTATCAGTCTATGTTCTCCATGTAAAATTGCTACCAATAAATGTTTAACCCTACGTCTGACTTTGCAAAATAAATGTGTGATAATTAACCACTAAATTCTTCTGGTTACCAGTTTAAAGAAAGAAGTCTACTAAAAATTTTTCAAAGTAAACTCAATTAATTTCACTCTGTAGGTCCCATAAAGTAAACACACCGGATTTTTTTTTTTAGTGGCTTCTCAGAAGTGATAGAAATATCTGTTTACAGTCATTTTGCAAAATCTTTCTCATAGATTTCTCAAAACTATTAATATTTGACTTGTGGGATTTTATGTTAAAGTAAAGGAATGCTCAAGTTTATCATGCAAGGTAGTCATGGCAAAGCGCACAGGTAAGACCACAAGATAGTCATTTAAGACTGGAGAATCAGAATATAAGCTTTGTTCAATGGTTAGAGTACAGTCATTAGACTTTGGGCATTTACCTTTAATAAGTGGTCTTGGGAGGAAGGCTTGACCACAGTTTTGATCAGCGGAGGTCCCTCTAGCTGGGGTCTGAGGTTGGCAGCAGTGGTCAGTCTCAGTCTTCATCTCTGGCAGGGTCTCAGTCTTAGCAGAGTCTAGAGAGAGATATTGTGCCTCTGCTTTCTCTCACTGAGTATGCAGACATCCAGGGTTTACATGTGATTTTCTTATCTGGACTCATACAGTAAGGGCCAGGTGATAAAATGTCTAACAAAGACTAGTATGTTGCATCTTCTCTTCAAGGTCAGAGATTAGCTATATGTTGCATCTTTTCTTCAAGGAGAGATTAGGGAGCTTGTTTATGATTTACGTATGTCTCATGGCCAATTTATAGAGATTTAGCTATATGTTGAGCCTTGGTGCGGTAGTTAAAGCTCTATGTTACTTTTTTTTTTTTTTAAATCACAGCATGTAAGTGCAAGGCCAACTTAGAGAGGTTATTTACAACATATTTCTACTTCTTAGGTCATTCACATTATGAGTGACTTATACATATGTGGTTTGAGAGCATTACAGAAGCATATATACCAGTTATTTTAAAACAAGCTGAGGCTTTCAAAGATGTTTCTAGTTATGACATCCGGAATTTTAGTCCATAGTATCACATCTAAGCTTTCAAGAGTTGGCATATCCTTCTACTGACTGAGAGCCACCATTTCTGTGGGCTTTCCTATCCAAAGAGTTAGCAAAAACAATAGGAAAACTGACTGCTTTTCTATCATTTTCTAGAGCTATCAAATTCAAATATAGGTATTATTTCTAAAGTAAGAACTTTCCATATTGGCCTGTGACTGATGCCTACAACTCTATCAATGGCTCGATTCTTATTAAAAATGTGAGCATTAAATGATAGGTAAAATGTGAATTTTTCTAATTAGAATACAATTGAGTAATTCTTTCCTTAAGACTCCATTAAGAGAAGAAGCAGGAGATAAGGCCAGAGTGTTATTCAGGTCTCTAATACAGATGGAAATCTAAAACCAGGCTCTCTAAATACTACCTTTGTGAACTGGGCTAATCTTAGAATAAAACATGGCCAGAAGACCCTTTAATAGCCTCTTTCCACTGACACTCTGGCCCTTGAAGTCTTACTATTTTGTCATCACAAAGAGGTATGGAAAAATAAATCTAGAAATAACTGAGGTTCTTCCTATGCTTCCTTTACCATTGCACCCTTGACTGATTAGACTTTGCCAGGGTGAGGAAGAGACAGAAAGTTGGAGCTGGGGGATCAGAAGGAGTCCTTTTTTATCATACCCGTTGCATGAAAGGAAAAGATGAAGTGTAAAGAATTGCAAAGGAGGAGGAAAAATAACCCAAATTTGAGTGATCCCAACCGAAATTGTTCCATAGGGAAGCAATATCGCTTAAACTCTGTTTCATCACTAGCATATAGAATACTGTCCTTCAAAGCTGAATCACGTAACTGATGCTTCTTTTTAGCGATGGAAGAGGGCAGAAGGGCAGGGCAGTTGAATAGAAACTTGAACTATCGTTGGAGATTTGGGGTCTTTCTCAAAGATCTCTAGTCACTGCCAGAACAAGAAAGGATTAGACAGGAGTCTGAGCAGCCAGGAGTTAATGTACTTTACCCCATAATCCCTTCCTCAAAATCACATTTGTTCCCATGCCATTACACTTAACTGTAACCAAGATCCCTTACCTCAGGTTCTTAAATTTACTAGGACTCTGACTTGTAGAGAAATTTGAACTTAAAGTTATCAAAAGAGTTCTATTTTTAATATTAATTTCCTTATTTTCTACCTAGTCAATTTTTTAGGACAACAAAGAGGAGGCATCTAGACTAGTGGTTCTCAACCAGGGGTAATTTTGCTCCACCTTTGCCCCAAGATATTGGTCAATATCTGGAGCTATTTTTGGTTGTCATGACTAGGAAGGAGGGTCTCCTGCATCTAGTGGGTAGAAACCAGTGGTGCTGATAAACATCCTACAATACATAAGACAAAGAATTATCTGGTCCAAAATGACAATCGTGCGGAGGTGACTATAAAGTAAAATGGGATTAACATTTTTAAAAAATGCCGTTAAAATAAAAATGCAGAGTTTTCTGAAAGTAGAAATCCCTATGATAGCATAAATGAATGTCTTTATTTTGAAGTGCTTAAGCTATATGGATCAGTAAATACTCGAAAGAATGGATGTGTCTGATACATTTTCAATAATCAAACATTAAACATTAATGTATCCTACCGAATGGATGGCAAAGGACCAGGCAGTGTTTCATTCTGTTGTACATAGGGTCAGTATGAGTCGGAACTGACTCGACCGCACCTAACAACAACCCAATGAAGCCTCCAATGTTTAGAAAATGAGGTTATTCTTAGTATTTTTTTAATAAGAATAACCTTGTTACTTGGGTCATTGTTACATTCTATTTGTGCATTAACAATTTGCTCTTCTGAGTCCCTTTGTGTTTCATATAACACTCGGGGGTTAGATTTTGATAACTTGGTATTACCTGAATTTTTGCCTTGTATTGCTTTTCTAAATGGGTAAATATTTAAGAGAGAGATCTTCATTGTGAACCTGATCTAGTGGGTCCCAGATGAATAGCACAGAGCTGGTTTGAGGCCCCCCACCTGCAGCACTTGCAGCCCTTTCTGTAGCTATACTTGCCAGCCAGCCTAGGCTGCCTTATTTTGTGGAGCAGACCTTTAAAGGCAGGAACTACAACTAGAAAGATAGCAAAAGGTAAGATTCTCAATATAATAGACGTCAAATTTGTATATGACAAGGTAGGATTTCCTCAGTATTCTCATCTTCAAAATCCAGATAATAATGCTTCTTACATAATTTTGTGGGCATTAGATGATGTCATATATTTAAATGAGTGGTGCAGTAATGCATTCAAGAGCAAAAGCCTTCAAGTAAGACTGACCTAGTTTGAAATTTTGGCTCAGCTATGTCTTTGCTGTGTGTACTAAGCCAGGGCTTGGTCTCCCTGAGCCCTATTTCATTATTGGTAAAATAGGGACAATAATATGAACTACAGCCTTCAGTATGGATTACACCTCAACATAAAATGAAGATCCTCACAACTGGACCAATAAGCAATATCGTGATAAATGGAGAAAAGACTGATGTTGTCAAGGATTTCATTTTACTTGTATACAAAATCAACACCCATGGAAGCAGCAGTCAAGAAATCAAACGACGTATTGCACTGGGCAAATCTGCTGTAGAAGATCTCTTTTAAAGTATTAAAAAGCAAAGATGTCACTTTGAGGACTAAGGTGCGCTTGACCCACGCCATGATATTTTCAATCGCATCACATGCATGAGGAAGCTGGACAATGAATAAGGAAGGCCAAAGAAGAATTGATGCCTTTGCATTATAGTGTTGGCAAAGAATATTGAATATACCATGGACTGCCAGAAGAATGAACAAGTCTGCTGTCTTGGAAGAAATGAAGCCAGAATGCTCCTTTGAACCAGGATGGTGAGACTTCGTCTCGTACTTTGGGAATGTTATCAAGAGGGACCAGTCTGTGGAGAAGGACATCATACTTGGTAAAGTAGAGGATCAGATAAAAAGAAGACCCTCAATGAGATGGATTGACACAGTGGCTGCAACAGTGGGCACAAACATAACAACAATTGTGATGATGGCACAGGACTGGGGAGTGTTTCGTTCCATTGTACACACAGTAGCTGTGAGTCGGAACTGACTCGACGGCACCTAACAACAACAACGACACCAACTTTGCAGTAGGTTGTTTTGAGGATTAAATTTAGGGAGATTATCTAATTTATCATCCAAACACGACATTTTTTTTATCATAAAATCAACTACTGTTATTGTTATAATGGAAAAACGGACATAAACTGGTACTGCCTCAGGCATAAAACTGGCATGTATAAACTGGAATGTATGGTTCAAAAACCAAAAAACCAAACCCATTGCCATTGAGTCAATTCAAACTCATAGTGACTCTATAGAATAAAGTAGAACTGCCCCACAGGATTTCCTAGGCTGTAATCTTTACAAAAGCAGAACACCAAGTCTTTGAGTGGCTGTGAATTCGAACCAACCTTTCAGTTAGCAGCCGAGCGCTTAACCAGTATGCCACTAGGGCTCCTTGGGATGTGTGGTTACTCTACTTAAATGAATTGTAAGTGCTTGGAACATCTTGGCTCAGAATAAATGGTCGATGAAGATAATTTGTTAAAAAAAAAAAAAACCTCTTTGAAATGTGAATGCTGTGATGCACCAGGCTGGCTTGTTACCTAACTGACTGGGTCTTATGCACAGCCTTACAGCATGTGAGTCAATTCCTACAGCCATAAAAAGACAAATGATTACAAAATGTTGAACGACCACCTGGATCACCCATAAACATCAGAAGCTTCAAGTGGAAAAAAATGGTAAGGTACTGTAGCAGCGTCCCACATTATATTCCATGGAATTCATGGGTATTGCATTAAAAAGGGGTTCTGTGATCACGTGATTTTGGAAAACACTATGTATTTTCTTCCCTTTTAGAATAGCATATTGAAGACTCTAGGTAAACCTGCAGTAAGGAAATCCATACAGTTTGTGAAACACTGGCATGTATTATATATATATATTTATATAAGCTGGCCTCATTTTCCACTGAATGGGAAGAAAAAAATGTCTGAAAGATGCTGGAGTGGTGTTTTGAGATGGAGTTTGGAACCTGGTTTAAGGAAAAACACTCTCATGATCAGTTGATGATGTATGCCATGGGCAATGGTGTGAGGTGTGAAGAGGGTAGAAGGGAATGTGGCACGCCTGGTACTTACTAGGTATTCAAGGTTTGCACCTGGTTAGCATAAAGCTAAAGATTAAGTTCTGAATTTTGCAAATACTTCGTAAAA